GTCCCGGGACCTTCTGCATGCCACCAGATGCTCTATCACTGAGCCACAGCCCCAAAAGATTGGTGGTGAACAACAGCTGCCCTCAGGGTTACCTGCAGTTAAACAATGAGTCTATGGGCAAGCCAGGCCCAGGGCAAGTCCTGCGATCACATGCACTAAATAATCCACCTTCAATCCACTTTCAATCCACTTCCCAACTGGATTTTGCCAGTTCACACAGTAAAATCCAGCTGCAAAGTGCACTGAAAGTGGATTATTTAGTGTGTGTGATCGCAGCCTAGGATTCTATTTTTCCAGTGGGGTATTAACTTTTTAAGGGGGCTTAGGATACCTATGGGCCTGTTTCTGCAGCGTGCATCTGGAATTTGGGGTCCAACGCCCTGCACTGTCCAGCTGCCGATCCGGAGGGACTTTCCACTCCTCTCCCTTCCCTGCCTTCCTCTCTCCCCTCCTCCCTGTCGGCAGGGTCTTGCAATGCCAGTGCGACAGCAGGACCTAGCACAAGAAGTTGGAGCTTGTCGGTCCTCACCAGCTCACCAGTGTGGTCAGCCAGGACGATGATGATGAAGCTTGCCTTGGGCCGGCCATGGCTGACCTGGGCAGGCATGCTGAGGGCACCGCTGCTGCTCTCGTGGGCTAGACGAGCAAGGTGGGCGCTGGGGGGGAAGCAGCCAGGCAGCCCAGCCTACCAGGGCCTGCTGAGGGGTGCTGCCACCAGGGGCAGCCAAGCATGGCTTGCCAGAACTCTCCCCTGGGGAAGGCAGAGGGAGGATGGGGAGTGGAGGGCGGAGTAAGCTGGGCTTCTTGAGGCTGTTTTCGGCACACTGGCTGTAAAAAAAACCCACAACAGGTGGGAATCGAGGGTAAAGCTGGGGAGGGCAGAGCAGGCCAGGCTTCTTGAGGCTGTTTTCAGCACGCTGCTCACTACGGCACAAGAGTGTGTGCCTGTAAAGAAATGCTAAAAACAGGTTTTAAAAAACATTTTAGCAGAAAACAGTGTGGGGCTATGCATTTAAGTAAGGGGGCTGAGCCCTGAATAGCCCCACCGTCGCTATGGGTTAGGGTTAGATATGAAACACACACTTCCCCATTCACAGTCCTGTCTTTGTGGTGGTGGAAAGTTCCATCAAGTCACGGGCAACATATGGCAATCCTGATTAGGGTTTTTAAGGCAAGAGATTAACAGAGGTTTGTTGCCAAGCCCTGCCTGTGCGTAGCAGCCACGGACTTCCTTCAAGGTTTCCCATCCAAGTACTAACCAGGACCAACTGTGCTTAGCTTCTGAGACCTTACAAGGTCAGGCTACCCTGGGCCGTCCAGGTCAGGGCAGTTAATTCTTTAACTACTATAATTATACTTGCCTTTATTTAGTTACTTCATTTCTCAGGCACCTTTCTAGTTGAGACTCAAGGTGGATTACGGAATTACAAAGCAATGCAATAATGACCATCCTAGCCCTGACCTGGATAGTCCAGGCAAGCCCAATCTCGTCAGATCTTGGAAGCTAAGCAGGGTCAACTCTGGCAAGTACTTGGATGGGAGACCTCCTTGGAATACCAGCAGCCAGGAGGCGGGGGCAGGCTTTATTCAGCCACCTCTCTGAATATCCTCCAGGCCCCCAGTAGGGGTCAGTCATCAGAGGTCACTATGATGGCTGCTGATAGATCTAGCAGCAAAAATAAAGACGCATACTCATTGTCTACATTCAAATGGAGATCATCAACTAAAGCCACCAATGCCGTCTCTTTCAAATAGCCTAGCCTGAAACCTAATTGAAAGGGGTCTAGAACCGAGCCAGCCAAGAATCAGCCTGACCCACTGAAGAGCACACCAGGCAGGAGAGAGGGTATCTTTTATGTGACCAAGTAATATTCAGATTGCACGAGGCAAGCTCCGAAGTTACAAAGAACTCTTCTGCAGGTAGAATAATTTAAATAAATAAAGGCAGTAGGTTGGATCCAAAGTTTGATTTCTGCTAGAAGGTAATTCTGCCAACAGGATGGTACTTTCCTGCTGCCCTCCACCACTGATGAGTCCCTCTGCCTCTGGGTGACAGGAGAAACTTAGGATGTGCTGTCAGGTTAGCTATTAATCATGCTCGGAACAGTACTTCCAAAACTGTCCACAAACGGGCCCTCCATGAGTCACTGGATTAAAGTGTTGTCAACGTTAAGTGGCTGCGAACTCACCCAGACCCTCCAACAGGTGTTGAAAGGTAGCTGCCACCCTACGTAAAATGAAAAGGCATTCAAATATTATGGGAGGTCCTTCAGAGGGGGTACAGCTCTTCTTTCCTCCTTCTCCAGGGACCAATGGAAGGTTCCAGTGGGTGCTACAAGCATGGATGGCTTCAAAAGGGAATTAGATAAGCATATGGAGCAGAGGTCCATCAGTGGCTATTAGCCACAAGGTATAGCTAGGGGCTCTGGGGCAAGTGATGCTCTGTCTTCTTGGTGCTTGGGGGGGGTCAACAGTGGGAGGGCTTCTAATGTCCTGGCCCCACTGCTGGACCTCCTGATGGCACTGGTATTTCTGGCCACTGTGTGACACAGAGTGTTGGACTGGATGGGCCTTTGGCCTGATCCAACATTGGCGTCTCTTATGTTCTTATGTACTTGGGACATGGGATACACGGGACATGGGGTACACCCTGAACTTCAGATCTACACAAAACTAGAAGGAACCATCTGGCTTTGGCATCAACTGGGGGCCCTCCGTTGACTGAGATACCTCAATGAGCCCTTTCTAACTCCAGTACGATGTTCACCACATCCTTCAACATCCCTACTATTTGCTAGACAATGGGTTGGCCCCATATGCACCACCATTCGTGGAAGGGTAATGAGTTGGTAGGTAGCTAACAGTGCCATTCTAAGAAGAGTTCTACTAAGTCAACCGAAGGCAATAGTATTAGAAAGGTATAACACTTCGTAGGATGACACAAAGTTGTTTCAGCCTGCATGTCAGATCAGATCAGTAAGTTTGATCTGTATAATCCTGTTCTGGAGCCCTCACATACTGTACCTGGCTCCCAGTCAGAGATCCCTCCAACTGCCAGGGGTGGCTATCTATTCCAATCACACTTTGAGACACAGATCTGTTTCTTCTACCACTTTCCTGATGAGCAACCTTTTTCTTTCCCTCCACTCATTCAAAAGAGTTTCCTCTTCTCCAGATGACATCAGATCTCATAGTCCATGAGGCCTGCACATCTCACCACTTGGAAGGACCTTGCCGCAGGGCAAACAACTTGTCCGAGGAGGATGGTAATAGTACAAACAAATAGTTTCTCTTACCGACGATTAGCAAAAACAGAATATGCCATACCAGGAAGTAACTGTATCTACATTTGTTGCATCTAAACAGATCACAAAACTCAGTTTTTGCCACTTGCTTTTGAAACTTTATTCTGTTGAATCAACGTATTAGTTATTCAGTTAGATTTGAGTCCAGTAGCACCGTACAGACCAAAACGTTTTTCAGAGTATGCCCTGACCTAGATAGCCCAGGCAAGCCCGATCTCGTCAGATCTCAGAAGCTAAGCAGGGGTGGGACCCTGCTGGCAAGTACATGGATGGGAGACCTCCAAGGAATACCAGGACTGGAACACAGAGGCAGGCAATAGCAAGCCACCTCTCTGAAATGTCCAAGCCCCACTAGGGGTCGCCATAAGCCATCCATGACTTCCAGGCACACAAGCGCACACACACAAATACAAAAAAAAAAAAGATTTTCAGAGTATAAGCTTTGACTATTGAAAGTCAATGCTTTGAAAATCTTGTTGGTTTCTAAGGTGCGACTGGACTCGAATCTAACTCTTCTACTGCAGACCAATACGGCTGCCCTCTGAAACTGTCAGCATGGATTCATTACACCTTGAAACTTCTTTTTAAAAAGTTTTAGTTTACATTCAGTACAGTTAACACATTTAAAATATCAGATACATAACATTTAAAACATAAACAAAGGATACTGACTTAAGATAACTGACACTTGGAAACCCATTATTCAGTGTTGGAAAATAATTTTCATCATCCTCTCCTTGATGCTTTTCAACCACCCAGAATGTACCCAGAAATTAAAGTACATAAAGAGTAGAACAGGATGGATGTCCCTACAGGTGGCCCCGTTGCATGCCTTCCAGCCACATATTATGGTGTTTTGTGAATATGGAGCCAGACTCTGCAACCGGTTTTCTGGATCTTAGGGTTGCCAGCTTCCTCCTGACTACCGGTGGTGAGGTGGTAGGGTTGCCAGATCCAGGTGGAGAAATTCCTGGAGATTTAGAGATGGAGTCTGGGGAAGACAGGGACCTCAGCAGGTTACAATGTTACAGAGTCCACCTTCCAAATACCTGTTTTCTCCAGGGGAACTGCCTGGTCTCTGTAGTCTGAAGATGAGCTGTAATTCTGGGAGGATCCCCACGTCCCACTTGGAGTTTGGCATCCCTATCTTGTACTGCAAACGTGTTATTTTTATGCCTCTGACATCCTTTTTAAGTTACACAAATATAAACTTGTCGCCATCTGAAGAAGTGTGCGTGCCAGAATAAAACTTTGTTGATCTTAAAGGTGCCACTGGACTCAAGATTTCCAGGGTCTACGCTTTTGAGAGTAAAAGCTCCTTCCGTCGATCTTGTTGGTGTCTTTAAGGCGCTACTAGACTTGAATCTTCCTGTACTATAGGAATTAGCAGTCTTTTAAGGTGCCACTGGACTTTCATTTTGTTTAGTCTTCAACGTGCCCTGGGATTTCCACTCAACATGTCGTCACAGTCTGACCGGCGGAAAAGGCGAACTGTATAAGGTGCTTGTCATTCCATGTGCGGCCGTTAGGTGCCGCAATTTAAGAAGGCTTGGAACCCGTTCCGTCCCCTCCCCGGTATGATTTTCCCATCGTACTCCACGCTACGTCGAGGTCGGGGCTCATCCCGGCGCCTGACGGGAGTCGTAGTTCGCGGTTGGCTGAGGGCGGCTGACTCGCTTCCCCAGCGTGCCGCGCGCAAAGCCCGCGCGCTCGCTCTCTCCTCCAGCCTGTCTCGCAGTCGGTCTTCTCAGTGAGGAGGTGGCGGCAGGGGCAGCGGCGGAGCGGCGGCGGCGACGACAGCCCAGGCGCGCGGGCGAAGGGGGAGGGCTTGAGCGAGGCGGCGGCGGCGACGCGGCTCAGTCCGACCATGTCGGGCGAAGAGGAGGCGGCCGAGCTGACGATCGCGGAAGACGTGGTGGTGAACAAGTACAAGATGGGGGGAGAAATCGCCAACCGTGAGTGTGGCCCGGCCGTGGGAGCCGGACCTGGGGCCTGGGTGGGAGGGGACCGTCCGTCTGCCCGCCCGCCCGCGGGCTCGACGAGGCGACCTGTCAGGGCTTGATTCCTCCGCAGAACAAGAGC